TTCCGAAAATATCCATATTGAAAGTTATTTGATAGTATTTCTCACTTTTTCTGAAATTAAAGCATCCGTAGAATGGACGGATCCTTGTCGTGATACTCTTTTTTGACTTTGTACAACACATGTGCCTTTTAATGATTTTGGCTCTGCAGAGTGTCACACATGACTGAGCCTAGTAAATAAACGAACTAGTTAAAAAACACATGTGCCTTTTCCATTGCCATTTTGTTGCTCAGTTACCAATTGATCTGAAACCAACGTGTATTCCTCAAAAACTTGTTTTGAACTAAACAACTTTGATTATAGTAAACCTCCAAAAGATGTGGATAATAGGGAAAATGGAAATGTAAGCCGCTTAAACGGTGTTATTACTACGTGGGATTTGACTTAATTTGTTACAACATGCAATATCTCGAGATTATGACCAGATCGAAAGTTACTGACTTCGAAGAAGTTGTTCAAGCGTTCAAAGTCTATTGCTTGATGCACAGTAGTTCATAATTTTCTCACGCGCTAGCTTACGCGTTTAATTCTCACATATCAAATATCTCTAGATCCTGACCAGAACGAAAGTTACTGTCGTCAAAAAAGTTGTTCAGGAGGTCAAGGCGTTTTGGCGAGTGGACAGTAGTTCATAGTTTCCCACATGGCGCTAGTATACACGTGAAATTCTCGTATATACATTAGCTCGAGATCTTGACGAGCTAGAAAGTTACTGTCTTTGGCAAACTTGTTCAAGGGGTCAAGATTGTTTGGCTGGTTGACAATAGTTCAGAATTTTCAGAACTCACCACGTGGCGCTAGTATACATGTGGGTCACTCCAGCTCAAGTGTATACACCACCTGTGGTCGATGTCACCGATTTGAAACAAACTTTGCCAAAACGCTTATTTTGGCATTCTGAACTAGCAATTATTTTAGTTTTGCTCTTAAGTGCCTAAATCCATCTGGGCTACAACCCTGGTGTTTGAGCGCAGCGTTGAAAATCTGAAATCAAAGGAGAAAATTAAATGTATTATTATTCACATCATCACACCCTCATAATACTTACCAATCTTACCTACCTATAAGTTACCTACCTAGAGCCAAGAAATTCACCACACCTACACTATCAACCAGTAGAGATAAGAAATGTACTTAGAGATAAGCGATGAGAGAAATATACAGGAGTTGAAAACGTACAATTGGAGAGTGCAAACGCATCTCTGTTTGCGTCAGTGAGTCCGATACTTTTATCACGTCGGTAGATTGCATGCTGATCGACGATAGCTTCACCGGTCTAAATTCGGTCCATCTCAACCCTTGGTACTCCGTAACTACACCGGTTGAAAAATTCATGTAAATTTCTGCGCACATAAAATTAACGCTAGATTTGGCATAAATTTACTCTATATTTCGTGTAAATTTAACCGCAATATCGCTTAAATAAGCAATATTGTCTGCAAGCTTGTAAACGATTTCGTTGTTTATGCCAACTGTAGCTCAAAATTAAACAAGGGGAGATTTTACACGATAGTTAAAATTCAGAACTTTTTTCTGTGTACAGTAAACAGACTGATTACTGGAAGGTATTAAAATAATAAAAAAAAATGTCTATTTTCAAGCAAGGTGAGATTATTTATTGCTGTTGGTCAGGATCTCGAGATATTATATATGCGAGGACTTCACGTGTATCCCAGCGCCAGGTAGTAAGAAAAATATGTACTGTCCACCAACGAAAAGGTTTTGATCTCCTGGACAACTTTGCCGATGCCAGTTTTAGCAGGTCTTGAGATGTTTCATATGCTAGAATTGCACGTGTATACTAGCTCCATGAAGTGAATTAATTCTGAATTACTGTCCACCAGTCAGACCCCCTGAACAACTTTGCCGAAGACAATAGCTGTCTCGCTGGTCAGGATCTCGAGATATTTTAAATGTAAAATTTTTCACGTGTATACTAGCGCTGCATAGTGAGAAAATTCTGAACTATTTTGCACCAAGCAATAGACTTTGACCTCCTGAACAACTTTGCCCAGTATAGCAACTTTATATCTGGTCAGGATCTCGAGATATATCACATGCGGGAATGACACATATATACTAGCACTATGTAGTGAGAAAATTCTGAACTACTGTCCACTAGCGAAAAGGTTATGATCTCCTGAACAAATTTGCCGAAGACAACAACTTTTCATGAATACTATCGCCACTGTTGCTAGTGGACAAGAAAAAATGCTGAAGTTTGAGAGCTTGTATATTTCGTCGATACAGTTACGCTTCAAAGCTGAAAGTTCACAATTCGTCAAATAAATTCGGGTAGACGTACTTAATTCTTTACCTACAATTCAGTTTCTTCTTCTCACTTGACGTCCACTTATCAACCGTATTATGTTGTTCAATCCAAGTTCTACAGAGCAAGCATTCAGTTAAGCAGTTCCATAACGATAAATTTAAATTACTTACAAGCAATTTGCTAATGCACAGACTAGGCTGCAATCCGTCTACACTACACTATCTACGATTTCGACTGGTTAACTATATATAAGACCAATTATTTAGATTGTATGCGAAAACTTATGTTTATCAGATTGTTACTTCAATAGTAGAATTTCACTTCAACGGTAGAAAAACAAATCTCACAAGTGCAGTCAGGCCGGTCAAATCTGCCTCGTCATGGTGATGACAGCTCCAACCTGGTCGCACAATAGAGGCTCTCAAGCGACTCACGTTGCAGGGCTGTCTACAACGTCCGGGGTGCCAGTTGTGTTTCGAAGCGGCAACAGCCACGTAGTGAGAAAATTTTGAACTATTGTGCACCGAGCAATTGATTTTGACCTCCTGAACAACTTTGTCCAAGACAGTAAATGACAGTTTCCCTATTATTTGCAACTTTTGGGGGTTTACTGGAATCTAAGTTTAACTTGTTTCGTTCAAAATAAGTTTTGAGAGATATCCGTTGGTTTCAGATCGATTGGTAGCTCGGCAGCAATATTGCAATGGAAAAATTAAACTGTTGTACAAATCATAGCACCTGCGATCCTCTACGCAGCTCCGGTGTAGGAATCATGTGCACAGATTCACAGGAACAACATCCAGGTCGCTCAAAATAGAGTGCTGAGTAAGATCCTTGATCGTCCCATTGACCACCAAGGTGCAACTTTAAATAATTATTAAAAATTCAAATGAACTAAGTTTAATGTTTCACTTAAAAAAATCACAAATTCAAGAAACAAACATCATTGAACTGTTAAAAATAAAAAAATAAAATAACAACAACGGAATAGTTAATGACATTTTAAATTTAGCTCGCTCCAAAAAGAGGTTTGATTTGGGGGATAAAGCTCAGAGCTCAGAGCCAAGAGTGTGAGTTGTCGTACTTTGTAATAGGGAACAGTATGAGGGACATATTTAGCCCCGTAACGTGGGTAGATCACCTTTTCGTGGTACGTTACGAGATGTAAGATCTACCACCGATTCCTAGTTCTGACTACTTCAAACTAGGGGAACAGAATTTTTTAGCAATCCAAGGAACACATCTTAGTCCTTGTTACTTTTTATGCCTTGTTGATAGTGACAAGACTCGGCTTTGTCTACCGAGAATGATCTTGAAACAAGGCAAAAAATGAGTTAGTTGTCTTCATCTATGTGATTCCTAATCTTCTATTCGTTGTTTCCTAGTTTGAAGTGGTTAAGGCTAGGATTCTGATGCATGATCATTATCGGTGTCATATCTTAATTTTGTTGCTAAGGAATCCAATTTTGACTGACAAAGGGGCGCGCCTTTGGAGGGTGTTTCAACACTCCGAAAGGTATAAATAGCGGGACCTTTCAATTAGAGTCGGATCCTTGCGATAAATGCAAGAGTGGCAACTGTAAAAAAATCGAATACTTCATCATTTCTCAATAGTGATGGAGTAATACGACATGCACTAAACTAAGGACACGGGATATACTACAATAGATCAATTTACTGGTCGCAGTAGTGTTGGGTCCCGAACAAAGGGGAAAAAAATGAGGGACATAGCAATAGAGTAGAGAGTCAAGGCTGCATGGATTATTGATCTTGTCGTGGTGATCTTGTCGTGCGACAAGACATTATTGTTTGACGAGAACTTTTCAGAGTGACCATGTTTCTATTTATCTTGTCGTGTGTCAATAATAAACGTGACAATTTCCAAGACTGATTTCGAGGACTTACAACTCAACAGAACCTCTCTCAGAATACTAATAAAATGTATACTCTTCCATGGTATACTCCAGACCGTTCTAACTTCACCATTAGTAGTTCCTTCTCCCCGGATCTTTCCTTAAAAAATACCCTTTTTAATCTCGAGTAAACCAGCGAGTAATCGGTCTACCTACTAGACGTAACAATGAAATATCGGCTCCGTAAAGCTAACGTTATTGAGCTTTCAAAATAAATTGATTAAAAAAATAAAAGCTTAAAAAGCGGTAAGTTTTCTGGATTTGCACTCTTTGTTATGAAATCTTGGCTGATCGTTGTTCAACTATTCAGGTATTTTTTCCCTTGATTTGGTTTTCCGTGAATCTTGTTTTCCGTACTGAGCATCAATGCTACCGACCCCAGGGAGGCAGCTCCCACACCTGGACCCTACCTATCGACCCATCAACTCATGAACCGGGGACCAACGGCTTTACTTCCGTGATCAGAGATGTTATGCCTCAGAACATCCCGGCGGCGCCGACTGGGATTGAACCCAGGCCCATTGGAATGAGAGGCAGTCACGCTCACCTCTCCACCACCAGCGCCGCTAGCTATTCATTTCATATCAATATGGTTTCAAACTTGATTGAAATTTATGCAAATTATACTATTTTAGAGAAACATCTGTTGTTTTAGTATCCCTTATAAAACTACTTTTTTTCTTATTATGTACATGCTCAGACTGAGGAGGGATAGGTTTCATTTAATAATGAAAACTTTAGTGCTGATCTTTAGAAACAATCTTAATCCACGAAATAAAACCAGGGATCAAAATTTGTTCGGCCATATTTATTCATCACATAAAATTATAAGGACTGCTATACTTTCCCAATGCCAATTCCAATAACGAGAACTCACAGGTAGGATATAGTGACTGGCACATAATATGATTTCTGCCCTTCCGGTGCGCTTCATCGTAGATTCTGGTATCACTGTGCTCAAACGACAACACTTTGGACTTTGGAAAGCTAAACAATGTTCGTAACATTTCCGACGCCATGTTGGATCCTTTCTTACCAAAGAACTGCGAACTCTCACACAGCGCTCGCAGCACGCATTCTCGACCATTGTAGCCCATGCTGGAATGAAAATAGAGTTTAAAGTGTTTCAAAATTCAAATGACAACTTCCGTGCAACTTACTCTTTCATTGCCACTTCCAGTTTGTAGTATAATTCACGTCGATGCCTTCGCTGAGCTGGAGCTTTGGGTTCCGCCGAGTCCATATGAAAGCTTATCGTGTTGTTGGGCAAATTATACGCAATGCCCCAATTTACTGCCCAACTGAACATGTTATAGTTCGGATTGCCGTAAATACCAACTGACATGCAGGCCGCTACCTATTGCGGTACGACCTTTGTTAGTAATATGAATTAATTACTAGTTTAGTTTACTTACCGAAAAACTGGCTCCTTCGGGAAAAACTAGGAATCGCTTCCGCCGGGATAACACTTTCGTCAAACTGCTATCATCGAGTATGTTTAACGTTGTCTGATTCGAGTGGCTCTCCATTGCAGAACTTCGAGCCATAGTTTCATACGATAAACACTGTCCTAATGACGCGACCCAGAGTACAATTAACTTAAGGAAAATACTCTGAAAAAAAAAACAAAACAAAAACTGATAAAATTGTCTTGCTCTTTATGAAAATCATGCGCTCATTACCATGGCTGGCATTTCAATGTTTATGCTGCAGAAAACTACGAGGACTCTTTCGATAGTATGCATACAATCGAAACGGTAAATTTGATTGTAAACTGACCTCTTGAATATTATAGTACGTCCCATCAACTGCTAAGACTCAATTCATCGGGAAACAAAGCATGCAAAGGTAACGGAGAGTCTCAACATTCTTTGATCTGGAAACCAACTGAAGCGTACAGGTCTTAATAACTTTAATTGAGTAATTCACGCATTGGTGTTTAAAGTGATCATCTAAATCGTGATAGCTTGAAACTATGTTTCTTCTCAATGTTCTAGCCATTAAAAAAGCCGCTATCGAGTGCGTTATCATTGTTTAATAATTAAGTGACAAAAATGGCATGATTTAAAGGTACCTTATCGCTAATTGTAATATTTAGATAATTGAGCTAATTTCACTATAATAGAATTATGCAGCTTTCCACGGAATTATTGCCGCAATTTTTGCCGACTTTGTTTAGATTTTACAAAGCTAATAAAAAATAATCGTTTCATCAATTCAAACAATACAGACGTGTAAAGCTACGGAAAAATATTGTTTGACTAAACATTTTTGACATTCTTTTGTCGTTCGACATCAAATAATAATTTATCGCACTGAGCTTAAGGGAAGTTCACCGCTAAAAAAATAATTAAGTTTTGATTTTTCCAAAAATATTGAAAAATATATCGAAAATCTTTAAACAAAGAAAACCTTTTTAATTTTTCATAAAAAAATCATGTGCAAAAAAATTCTTCATAAGTCATCATCGCATAAAGTTGGACTAAAAGATATAGAAAAAAAAAGTGATTTTCTAGATTTTTGAAAATTTTTCCCAATATTTTTAGAAAAATAAAAACGTGCCGGAGACAAAAATATTTTCAGATCGGTAAACTTCCCCTTGATCATAAATTCAAAATAAAGTTGTTTTTGGTAATTTTGAAGAGCACTTTGCAACAGAACATCATTATTTTTTGTTGAAGTTGTCTAAGAATGCAGAATGTTTCGAAAAGGTAAACATTGCAGTATTGAGTGTATACTAACGACAAAAATACCAAGAAATACCGTTATACTCTTATAATCTAGTACCAAAATAAATAAAATTTTAGGAAAAACGGTTCTTCAATTATTTATGTCATCTTCTTCTTAAGAACTAATTAGGGTAATTTACGGTTTAGCGACTTGCAGTCAATTTAATTGTTTGTAAGAAAGTTTGAACATACTGAGAGGTTAGCACATATCATCGGTAAGAGACGTGTGTGTGTGAGAAAATTTGCGAAAAAATCCAAGGGCCCCGGTTGGATTTGAACCCACAATTCCCATTCAGTACACGGGTACATTACCAATTATACAGCGGTGGACCTATATGGTCTATGGATGTATTTGGCTAATGACATTTGAACCAGATTTTTTCGCAAATTTTCTCTCACACCTGCCTCTTACCGATGATATGTGCTAACCTCTCAGTATGTTCAAACTTTCTTACAAACAATTAAAAAGACTGCAAGGTGAGGTCGGCAGCTCAACTGTTGAATTACATACTGCACTGGAAATACTTCAGCATGTAAGGATGCACAACAAAAATGAGCTGGGTTTGTTCACATCGATTGATACTGAGTGGTTGCGGTACAAACACATATCATCGATAATAGACGATTGTTGTGTAGAACGCTTGCGCAAAAAGACTAGGGTGGGAAACGGATTCGAAACTCAAATGTCATTAGCCAAATACATCCATAGACCATATAGGTCAACCGTTAATTGGCAATGCACCCATGTACTGAATGGGATTGTGGGTTCGAATCCCATGCAAATTTTCTCACACACACGTCTCTTACCGAAGATATGTGCTAACCTCTCAGTATGTTCAAACTTTCTTACTAACTAGGGTAAGTGCACCATTATTGGCCATAGTTTCATATTTTGGCCATACCTCAGAAAAAAACGATTAAACCATAATCTTCGTGAGTTTTGTGTGCGATATGTATGTGTACCCCGATGACTATGATTTGAATCAATAAAGTTATCAGCACTCAAGACCTCAAACTTGTAAAAAACGTTAATTATCGTCAGAGCATTGCCAAAATAGGTGCGTTTTCCCTACCCAAAAACTAGTTAAAATATTCTTTTATTTTCTATTATCGTACAATATTTGTCTAAGCTCTTACATGATCTTAGTAGCCTTAGCACCCATGGAAAGGAAGTGAGGATAACAAAAAATTCAACTAAGTAATTTGATATCAATTTTTTACGACATTCTCGCTGAAAAATGACAAATATTGAAAATTTAGATTTTCACCGATAACGACCAAAATCAACTTGTTCGCAACTACAACCTATTGAATGCATATTGCTGATGCTGAGTGGTAATTGTAGAGCATCTTCAAAAGGATATGAAGCATTCTAAATCCTTGAAATACCGTGAACCCCCTGTAATTTGACCGTTCCTAAGCTGAACACTTTTTAGTTTGAACCTCGCTAATCTGCACACCGTGCAAACTAAGAATGGCTCAAACGTCATCTAGCACATGAAATAGTGTTAAGCGAAATAAAACAATGCAAAACGAAACGCAGCAGAATCAAAACAAAACAACAAATAAGGCTACTAGATCTTGCCTTTCTGATATGTGTAGGGTTACTAGAAGTTCAAATCAAAAATAAACCCCGTTAGTATACACGAAGTGTCGTTCAGATTAACAGGAGTAGGTGCTCTAAAATATTCGGAAACGTTGCGTTATAAAAAAGATGAAAATACACTGCACTGTCCGAAATCTCATAACAAGCTAAGATGATACCAGTTCCTTGATGAAAATGTTTTACATAGTTTTTCATTGTTAACTTTTATGGAAGGACATGACAAAAATAATCGAAAACTTTTTCGGGATATCTTAAACTTCTATAGTGCATTCGCTCTTGCACTTCATGCTGATGGTACCTTCGTTAGCTAAACTGCTTATATGTTTGTTTATTTACCGTTGGACTCTGTTCTGATCCTATATCAACACATAAGCCAGCACCAACGGATTTACTGTCTTTAGAGACGTGCCCTTGAGATTTTTTCAACTGAGCAAACCCTAACTATTTCGGTTGAGATTGAACCCAGACACACTAGGGTGATGAAGAAGTCACGCTAACCACTCAAACATCAGCGCCGTGAATTTTTAAAATGTTCGCATGCAATGTATTCGTTTAAAGCCTATCCCCTCTTCCCCTCGCTGCTTGTTATGATGTTTGGATGTACAAATCAATAAAAGACACAACTGATTCTCATCAAATTTATTGATTACATGAAACTGAAGGGACTGGCATATTTTCCTAACGCTAGCTCTAGCAATGAGAACGCACAGGTAGGATACAAAGATTGGCACATCACTTTGTTTCTGCCCTTCCGGTGGGCTTCATCGTAGATTCTGGTATCACTGTGCTCAAATGACAACACTTTGGACTTTGGAAAGCTAAACAATGTTCGTAACATTTCTGCAACCATGTTGGATCCTTTCTTACCAAAGAACTGCGAACTTTCACACAACGCTCGCAGCACGCATTCCCGTCCGTTGTAGCCCATACTGGAATAAAACCGAAGATTTTAAGTTTTGAAAATTACTACTCTAACTTATCGTGCAACTTACTCATTCATTGCCACTTCCAGTTTGTAGTATAAATCTCGTCGATGCCTTCGTTGAGCCATGGGTTTGGGTTCCATCATTTCATTCTCGAAACTCATCGTTTGGTTGGGCAAATTGTACGCGATGCCCCAGTTCAAAGCCCAACTGAACATTGAATAGTTTGGATTACCGTAAACACCAATTGTCATGCATACGGCTACCTGTTTGACACAATTCTTATTAAAATTTATGCCTACATCACAAGTAAGACGAGCAACACTCACCGAAAAACTTGATCCTTCCGGGAAAACTACGTATCGTTTTCGTCGGGATAATACATTTGTAGTACTACTATCATCCACAAGGCTTAAAGTTGTTTGTATCGATGGAATCTCCGTTCTAGAACTGTTGGAAATAGATTCCCACGAAAGACACTGTCCTAGTAAAAGGATCCCAAGCACTACTATTTGAAGAGTTTTTGTTTGATGCATATTCAAGAAACGATGTTTTTTCTTCTTCTTCTTGATGTGTGCACCAATAGGTGACCATTAAAAAGTTTCAACCAGCTTGTACTAACTAAATTATCTCTGATATTCAATCGTTCGAGCCAAATGGTAATCAACAACTTGAGCATGCTACTGAATACCACACACTGTGCAAAATGTACTCCACCTCAACAAGACATGAAGCTTGGAAAAAAAATACCAGAGAAATTACATTTTCAGTGATCCAGAAAGCACAGAGGCTGGAAAGGAAAAGAGCAATTCACATATTGGTGATTCATGCCAAGGAAAACGGGTGCTAGCAGTTGCTGATAGGTTACTTCAATAGTTCCTGGCTCGATTCAGATGTCGTTATGTACCTATATGAAAAAGGTTTTTTTTTTCGATTATGTTGTTCGATAAAATAAGTCAACCAAACATCATCATTTTTTTTTTGTATTTATTTAAGACACTTTACATCCGCAGATGCATTCATGTCTGTTTCAGTTTAGTGTAATGATGTGTGGGTGTGAGTGTAAGTGTTTATGGTTAATTGCACTTAGCTTTGTTTCGTCTCCTTCTGGTTCTTCGTTGATCATTACATTTCATCTCTTTCACTTCTGCTTCTCAATTAATTTCACTTTTACTTCTTCTATCTTTTCTTCATCTTCTTTCTTCATCATCTTTTTCGTAACCTTCGTCCGTTTCTTGTTATTCGCCATCATGATATTTTGTTGACGGGTCTCCTTCATCTTGTTGAATCGGCTGCGGCATCTTCCCATATCTGATCATGTGTTGCTTGTTGGTATTTCTCTTCATTCACTTTTAATCTATCTTCTTCTTTCTTCTCACCATACTTCAAATTATTTTCTTTACTTCTTCATCATCTTCTTCTTCAATTCCATTGTTTTGATTTCCTCTTCCCCGTCTTGTCGTCTTCTTCATTTCACTATTTTCCGCTTTATCTTCTTGATCTTCTTCGTCTTTTTCCGCTTCATTTTCCGCTGCGCTTTTAGTTCATCATAATTTTTCTTTTGATCTACTTCTTCTTGTTATTCTTCTTCTATCCCCTATCCGCTTTGTATTCCTGATGACCTTCACCTTCTTTACATGACCGTATCAATTTTGTCCAGTTCATCTTCTTTGATCTTCATCCAGTTACAAGTTTGCCTTCATCACATTCTTCCTTCCTTCCTTGCTCAGTTAACTGCTTCACTTTCTTGCCTCTACACCGGGTTTCGGCTGCTCCATCTTGTTCACATTCTTTCTTCCTTCCTTGCTCCGTTATCTTCATTGCCACTACACCGGGTTTCGGCTGTTCCTTCTTCTTTTCTCTACATCCTTCAAATTTTTCGGTACAGTCCAGTTTGCCGTAGAAAGTTCAGCAAATTGGTGGTTTGCTCCTCAGAGTTTCCTAGTTTCATCATCATCATCATCATCACCATCATCATCATCATCATCATCATCATCATCATCATCATCATCATCATCATCATCATCATCATCATCATCATCATCATCATCATCATCATCATCATCATCATCATCATCATCATCATCATCATCATCATCATCATCATCATCATCATCATCATCATCATCATCATCATCATCATCATCATCATCATCATCATCATCATCATCATCATCATCATCATCATCATCATCATCATCATAATCATAATCATCATCATCATCATCATCATCATCATCATCATCATCATCATCATCATCATCATCATCATCATCATCATCATCATCATCATCATCATCATCATCATCATCATCATCATCATCATCATCATCATCATCATCATCATCATCATCATCATCATCATCATCATCATCATCATCATCATCATCATCATCATCATCATCATCATCATCATCATCATCATCATCATCATCATCATCATCATCATCATCATCATCATCATCATCATCATCATCATCATCATCATCATCATCATCATCATCATCATCATCATCATCATCATCATCATCATCATCATCATCATCATCATCATCATCATCATCATCATCATCATCATCATCATCATCATCATCATCATCATCATCATCATCATCATCATCATCATCATCATCATCATCATCATCATCATCATCATCATCATCATCATCATCATCATTTATTTTGACTTTTTGCTTTGTTATTTTGAAAGTTTTCCAATCCAAAGATGTCAAAAAACGGTCCAGAAAATTTTTCAAACGAAAGACATTTTTTTCAAAGACAAGAATTATTCAAAATCTTTGAATCCCTGTAGCTTTAGTTTTCGTCCAAACATCGAGAAAAAAAAACCATGTTGCAGCATCTTGAGTTCTTTTCGAAATTCATTATATTGTATTATATTTTTTCCGGACTTCTCAAGATCGAAAAGATCTTTCCATTTTGAAATTATTTCCTCTTTCTAGAATAATGAAATTATAAGAGAACTTATATGAGTTACAGAACGAGTGTGAGGTGATTGAGAGGCGGACGAGCACATCAACAGTGATGCAGCAGAAAACGAAGGTGGCACGGCAACAGCAGTGGTGAAGTTGCTGCACTGGGCAGTTGCCAAGATTTGGGAGGAAGAGATATTATCGGAGGAGTGGATGGAAGGTGTTGTATGCCCAATCTACAAAAAGGGCGACAAGTTGAATTGCTGCAACTATCGCGCGATCACACTACAGAGTGCCGCTCACAAGGTACTCTCCCAAATTCTATGCCGCCGCCATTTGCAAGAGAGCTAGTGAGATTCATGGGTGCCCGCACTACCACGGACCAAATTTTCACGATTCGGCAAGTACTGCAGAAATTTCACGAATACAACGTGCACACACGTAATTTGTTCATAGATTTCAAATCCACATACGCACCGTTTTAAAAAAATATGTAAATTTCTGCGCACCCGTAATAAACGCTAGATTTGCCGTAAATTTAAAAGTAATTTCGTGAAAATTTCGATGTTTGCAAAAAAAAAATTGTTGTTTATGTCAATTATTGCTTAAAATTAAACGAGGGTAAATATTAGGCGATGGTTGAAATTCAGATTTTTTTCTAAGCGACACAATTGATCGATATCAGCTACACACCGAATCACGGTTTTCCTGTTCGGTATGTTTTAACAGCTTTCAAACTGCAAAAAAAAAAAAACTACCCAACATTCAGTTATTTTAAATACTACTACTCAATAAAATAGAGCCCCGAGTTTTCAGTATTGATTATATTTTACTGAAACTTGATGACTGAAACTCCAAAATTAATTAACAAACCAGTAAATTGAATTACTTTACGTCAACTTCCTCCGTTTCATCTCACGCGCTTGACTTCGGAATTTTGTGTGTGAAAACTGCAAACCTTTCTGAAAATCAGTGAAGCGACTTCCAACGTAGGAATGAAGAAACATTCACGGAATTGGACAGTTTATGCACTCCTCCATCAGCTTCCAAGTGTTTTATTGACTTGAAGCAAAAGCTTTGCATTGCCTACGATAGAGCTTCAGAATTAAGCACGCAATCTGGCACTCCAAGAATGCAATTAGTCGGCCAAACTACGAGGAAGCTCTGATCGCTACAGCTGGACTACCTCACGTCTAGTTTATGTTTACTGTGGGGACGTAATTTGTGATTGGTAAAAAGGTAAATGAATCATTAAACAATGACGATGTTCCTTAATAAGTAAAAAAAATCTCCTTAAAATAGACCGGGTTGCTCCTTAAATGATTGATCAAAATACGTTAAAAATCTTAAAATGCTCAGTAAATATTTAAATTACGCTCCCTAAAAAAAAAACTGTACATTAAGCATTTGAAAATGCTCCTTAGTATGCAAAGCGGTGCATCATTGTGTGCATTTGTGCATTTTTACTGAACATTTCAGCTGATTTCATGATACTTATTAACCTTTCTACAGCAGCTTTTCCGATGATATATGGTACAATTACACTTCAAAATGGTGCAAAGCGGTGCATACTAAGGAGCATTTTCAAATGCTTAATGTACAGTTTTCTCTATTTTAGGTAGCGTAAATATTTAAATTTACTGAGCATTTTAAGATTTTTAACTTATTTTGATCAATCATTTAAGGAGCAGCCCAATCTATTTTAAGGAGATTTTTTTACTTATTAAGGATAGTTTCATGTGTTTGATTGAGCAAAAGTAGGGCTGCCATTTTAGGTCCGGCCCCTTTCAAATTGTATCATTATTTGCGTATGGCCCTTGTATTTGAAATGACATTTCGCATTCATCTAGTGGTGGCCAATTTTAATTCGAATAATCGATTAATCGATTAACGAGCCGAAAAGTAAAATATTTGTAATCGGTTATATCATGCCGATATAATCATTAACTTCTCCAGAGAATCATCACCAATCGTTTCAATCATGTGCTGCACTCTAATTGGTGGAAACATGACAGCACAGCGACCAAAAAATAATCGAGTTATTGTTTAAGTTGTTAATCTAGTAATTAAAAAATGGGACATCTCTGATTTTGGTGTGATTGTTTTGATAAAAAAAAGCTCAAAATTTTATCTCTACCGAGGGGGCAGCAAAACCACAAAATTACCTTGCATACGGGGGGTATTCAATGGATGAAAGGGACCGTGAAAGAGGTATTTCACTGACTAAAGCGGTTATTGTTGCCAGCTCAGATATTTTGAGATTTACTGAGTGTCCAGTTAAAGCAAAAACTACTGAGCTGATTACCTGGTTTGTTTTTCCGTCGATCTTGTTTTCCGTGCTGAACACGAATGCTACCGACGTCAAGAAGGCAGCTCCCACACCTGGACCCTACCTATCGACAAATCAACTCATGAACCGGGGACCAACGGCTTTACTTCCCTGATGAGAGTGATCAGAGATGTTATGCCTCAGAACATCCCGGCGGCGCCAACTGGGATTAAACCCAGGCCTGATGGAGTGAGAGGTAATCACGCTTACCACTACACCACCAGCACCGCTCAGCTGTTTAAAACCCAGTAAAATTCTACCGACTTCGGTAATTTAAACTCTTATAGATCTTATAAGTTTAAATGAAAATTTAATCTACCGAATTCAATACTCATTGCATGAAACCTCGACACCAACAGTATCAAAGAAAAAGCGTTGCTTTTATCCATCAATTAGAACCTCGCACAGCAGATGGGTGAGAATAAGTTGCACTCGATATAAAATGGTTTCTCAAGTGCTTGACTTCCTCCCGGGTGCAGGCTTCTCTCGAAATAAAATAATAAAACCAATAGGAGGCTATGGTGGGCCACGCGCCAGTGGGGTAATATAACCAACAGCAATTTTTCATTGACTTAACAATCGAAATTTAATGGTGTTTCATCCAGAACTACTAGGTGGGTTATCATTTGGAGAAATTTTCATATAAATTGCTGCTTTAAAAGTACTTGAAAAAAGGTCAATATTTATATTACCCTGCTGGCGCGTATAACACCCAGTTCCCCTATAGATCCATATTGTACCCAGCTGCACAATTCCACCACCATTGCAGAACGTCAAGAAAGAAAAAAATACCGACCATAGGCAACTACACTGAACTTACGTGCGGGAGGTGATAATTATCGTCATTCGTCTCTTGTGCCAGTAGGTTAGGGCAGCGCTATTTTGCCGTTTCCAGAAGTAGGTAATCCAGATGAAGTGGAATTACCGTTTCAATTAGCACCCGCAGGCGCAAGTGAGGCGAAAGTAGCACGAAGCCGTACGACGGTCGGTAGTTCTCATTGAATCAAAAACGTGTTTTATTGAACAGCTAAATGAAATATGGAACAAATATTAGAAAAAAAAAATGCATTATAAATTGTTATACTAATGAAATATGAGTAAAATATTCACGAGGCCGGTATTTCGAAATGTTTCTTGCATTGAGAGCCACCACGCTTATAATTTATTAATAACGCGTAACATTTATTTATATATGTATATATTAATAAATTTCTATAATATACAATCTAATGTTTCCTTTCAATTATGTCACATGACGTTTGTTATCATCTTTTTTTCGCTTGTAGTTTTCCAGCATATCGTGTGTTTCGTGTTTTTTCACTCGTTTTTTTTTTTGCTTCTGTCTATTTTTTGAGTTTATCTCCTTTAGTTCAGAGTGTTCACCTACTGGTAGTACACCTCAATTCAATGAAGTAAATTTATAGTTTGACGTGCGTTGCATTTACTGTTACGGAAAAGTCTCTCGTCTCGGTAGAATGAAACGACTTCTGGCTTATGTTTTCTCCCTTTGATCTGAAGGTGTTTGCGTGTATGTGTGAGTGTGTATGTGCTGTGCAATTCAATCGTTAATAATGGCTCAAGTGTGGTTTTCTGTTTTTTCCTTGTTTTTTTTTCTTCAAATTAACGTACTGCTGTATGGTGTTATCCAGTGATTTGTTTCATCATTATATGTGACAGTAACATCAAGTTAACCAATGATCACAATACTTATGCAGTAATGATTAAGATTCCGTTCGTTCCTTGCCTGTTTAGGTTTTGCGTTACGTTTTACTTGTTGTTTTATCTATAAATTTAATATCATTGTAGGATTAGTTAAACTCATTTCTGTTGACGTCGGAGTTGTGGTTTTGCTCGATTCCTTGCTTTTCATAGGTTTAGTTTGTTAGTATAGACTTCCCATTAGTTTATGTTTAATTTTTTGGTAGTTTATTTTCTCATTTGATAAAAACCGTTACTTACAGTATTTCCTCATTTTTATAAATAATTAACCATATTTTTACACTTTCATTTATCCTTATTCTTACTATAAATGATTTCCGAAAACAATTATAAAAATTTATTTACCTTCATTTAAAAAATATATTTACAGCTTCACTATGTTCAAGAATCTAATGAGATGTCCCATGAGCCCTGGAAAGCGTTAGCCGAGTTATCAGCGAACCTACCTGGTTAGCACTGGGGTGGCTCTTGCGGCATGAGAACTGGCACTACTATACAGCTGCAGTAAAAAACAAGCGCGATACGGACTGTGTGGTAAGTATATAAAAATTGTCGTCCATGATCCTGCCTGCCGCGGATAAACCGACCAGTGCACACCATGTGGTCTATCAGAGCAACTCGGCCTGCGGCTTTCAGTAGGGTGGTTCTGAAAACCTCAACATCGTCGATTAAGATTCACAGCTCTGGTTTATGTTTTGTTTTCATTTTCAATTAATTTCATTAGATCAATTTAATTGAAATGTTGTACGAAATTTTCTTCATAAAAAATAAGAACAATAAAACAAAGTTTTTTTTTCCCCTTACACGATACTATGCATGAACAAGAGATGAAATATGATGTCGCTGAGCCGAGAGCCGGACGATTGATACAAAGCCAAATGTCAATTTTGAATTGTTTTATTATAATTATTATTTGTGTTACGGTTCAATAAGTTTTATCCCAAAGAGGATCATTTTTTTTCGCGCGCAGTTTGTAGTACTAACGTTATGCTCTCGGTTCATGAAGTGGAAATCGTGAATATACAGTTATGACTGTTAATGCGAAATGTTGTTTTGTAAATTTATTCATTATTAACTACACGTCATTTATCACCTAGCAGAGTGTCACATTTTTTTGTCGCTTTTTGTCAATGTTTTCCTATAAAAGATAACTTGTTTATGTAAAAAACGCGTGAATTTGAAAATGGATGTGTATATAAGATGTTTGTTATTCAATATCTATTCTAAATATCGCTAACTTCTGTTTCATAAAAAAGTTAATTTGCGCTTACATTCTTACACGTCAATTCGTTTGTTGTTGTTAATGTTATCTTCAACTGCTCATTCATGATAGGTTCTTTAATTGTTGCTGAGTGCATTTTCCAGCAATCTTCCTGGATTCACTTTACTTTTACTATGATTTGTACACCTTTCCTTTGCTACGTATGTTGTGTTCGAATCTCATGCGCACGACGTGGCAATTGGTTTCGAGATTCACTTTTACTTCTTCGAATTAAACCGAGCCTCGTGCCTGTGGAAGATTGGATTTCCGTTTTCGAACAGAACAAAACAAATGTTGCTAGTCAAAGCGATTGTCTACGTCTTGATGGGAGAACAGAAAAGTTTCAATTCACTATCGTTATTTGTCACAGATTGATTGTAGGTGTGGTAAACAATTTGATTTCGCTTCCCAAAAAGCTTTGCGCTAATGTTCGTGTGTCGTGAGTAGAAATCAGTTTTCTTTTGTAAGCGTTCTCAAATAAGTTATTATTTACACACATACACACACGTAATGTACATTTATCGATTTTTGTATTTTTCGTTTTGTTTTGTCACTAATTAAAAACAACCTTAATTTTTGCTTGATTTCATGTTTAGCTCTGCAGTTTGTTAGGTTAGTAATGATCACTCTGTATTCCATTTATTTCCCTCTGTTGCGGTTTTTTTGATTTTTAATTTATCCTTGGCATTATGCGTCTGCATGGGTTGTGTAGGTGTGTGCAGTGTTGAATGTGAGACAGAAATACTTAATGTGACCCGAATACGTGCCATTCTGTTGTGCAAGAAAAAACAGGTACAGCTGTCTGGTTTTTGGCTAGAGCGGTCGTGATACCAAAATATTTGGCTTGGAGAGACAAATGCAATTTAAAAAGATTGCTGCATACAATAGCTAGGGTTGGAACAAGTAAAATCCAAATAAAAGGGGTGTGAAACCGTTTGGGTGTGTTCATATATCGTAAATTTTATTACATTAATTTGAATAACCGCATTATTTTGGATAACTTTTTGATCCGCCACAATTATGATCAAGTTTTCTTCTACCGTTCAAAATAAGCACTCTACGAGTTTTTTGACATGCGGTATAAAATAAACTCAAGAGTGAGTTTTGAAATAGCCCTGTGTACTTTTGTAAACAAAGACTCAAACTGAAATTGGTCGAATCTCTTAGCTCTTCCACGCAACTTAACACCACCATCAGATAGGTGGTACGGTACTTTTCTTATTCCAAATTGTGGCAGATCAAAAGTTATCCACAATAATGCAATAACATTTACAATATCGGTGCAGTGACGGATTTGTGTTCGGTCTTAAATTAAACAAAATTCTCGCCTTTAAAGTGATTACTTACATTTGAGCAGTTCCACACCAAATGACGAATCGAAAGATCTGAACCTTTTCCGATTTGTATGAAATATTGAGTTTGCAATGGGCAATGATTCACATTTTTGCAAATTCGACCATTTTTGATCATGTGAAATTTTTAAAATGGCGCCTATAAAATTTTTCAAAATTTGCAGCATGGAAACGGCTTTTCCCATCGAATTGATGTCAGAGACAAAGGGTAGTAGAGACAAATAATATCTATCTGGGAAAAATAGAGTAAAAATCTTAAAAAAAAAAAAAATATGCAGTAATGACCCGATTTTGCCAGCCCCCTTTTTGAAAATATTTTCTAATGTTCTACGAATTACCTGTGCATTTTCAGTGGTCTTTATTGAATCCTTGAACATCCATCTTGAAGATGAATGAGAAGGATTTGAAATTACGGTTATGTGAAATTATTTAACGAGAAAAGTCTGATGCGCGGAGGGGCTGTCAAAATCGGGACATTACTGTATATCTAAATACTTCTTGCCCATTTTTTTAATTTAAAAAAAAAGCTCATGAAAATAAATTTTTTTGGCCCTGTTGCTCTAGAATTTATATATTCCCTGTCAGATAGCTGACTATCGTTTGTCGCTCCTGCTAGACTCATAATAATCGTTTGTTGTCTTGCTTGCTAGGGCTGGAGCTTCGATTCGGTGTTTTTCAATTATTTCATATTTTTGAAAAAATTGACTTTAAATTAATCAAACTACGAAAAAACATGGATACAATAATTTCATTTTGCATATACTACTCACACACACGCATAAACATCAGAAACGTGCAGTAGCTTGTGAAAGTCGCGATGATTTCGTTCGTATTCTCGTTGCTTCTATTTTCTTCGTTGAACGCAGAATTGAGCAAAATAGATAGCTGAGCGTTCCGTGACTGATTTTTGACTGTAGTAGTTTGGATGATTATTTTTTGCATGCTGAGCCATTTTAGATTGCATTCTGCTCAGTGAGATGAGCGAGAATTTTACAGAAAGAATATTTTTGATTTTCTCTCATTAAACCAGGAAATGTCCACTCTCACGCTTACTTAGCGCCAACTTTTTTCTCAGTGTACCTCAAGTGTGCTGCGCTGTGTTGGCAGTGCCGACAGTGCCAGTCATCGCGTCACTTTGTTTGGCTACCCGGTATTTTGACAGCTTAAATGTTTTATTTTTCTTGCTTAGAAGATAATACCGGGAGCTTGCTATCCAAAAAACGGAGCTTACGCGGTGGACAAGCTGTGCGATGAATTTGCCAAGATTTACGATGGAAATTAGCAGCATAGTATCACGAAGGGCAGTTCCAGCCGGATGGTATTTCTGGCTGCTAAAATGTTTTAGCTTGAGCATTGACTTTCCGGACATAAGTCCACAGTCAGCTTCTCTCTAGTTAAATAACAGATTGAGCTCAAACTTTAGGAATTTTGGTCGGGTTTTAGCTCTGGGTTACGATTGTGATTACGAAGCTGGAGGGTATCACGCATCAGGAAGGAATGAGATTTTTACCGAAGATTAGAGCGATTACATTTTCTTCATATGATAATCGCTAATACTTGGAATGTGGGATTGTTGGCAATGTTGACCATTTTTAGCACAGTAGAGAGTTCCCTAATTTTGGTATGCACAGTAATCCGTAGTGTGAACGGACAATAATCCATGGTGGGACTAGGCGAAAATTCACTGTTCCAAGACCTTTGTAGGGGTAAGAGGTGGGACCATCATCATAAACATCATTGGACAGATCGGTGCTGGCCTATTATTACCTACAGGCACGCATCGCAAACAAGCTTTAGTGGTGAGCCGTAACACTCCTGATCTACGATTTTGTAAACTACTACATATCCTAGGACAGTTCTTGTCACGGCTCATTAATTGTAATCAACGAATCACTACAGATTTTCCTACTCTCGTTCAAGACATTGCAGGTTAAAACCAAAGGTGATGCAAGCTAACAACAGGTCAAGATAGCAAGCTTCATATAATCTGGAATTCAGAAGATCCATCTACGTTGTGAATATCTCTCTCAGGTACGGTGACAGGTTGGTAAATTCGCCAACTTATGTCGTTTTAGTTTTTGCTAGTGTAAGCAGCAATAAGCGCGAGTCATTGACAGCTCATCATCATTTGTTTGTAAACAAAGGTGCAACCGATAGCTACACTCTAATTTTTTCGGTGTTCAGCAGTGTAGCACCGCAAAAACGAAACGACATTAGATTTCTGCGCCTTCGACAATCATCGAAAAAGACGCCCTTTTCGCCATTCAAAAAATAAGAGTGCAGCTCGAAATCTATTTTTTGGCACTTGTAAGCAACCAAATTCGAAGTATGAACTTCAGTAAGCCTCGTTGGATAAAAATCTTCTTTTTGCAACTTTAACGCCATTTTAGCTGAGAGTGGTTAAGGAAATGGAGATAACTGGTTGCTTAATTAATTGCTTGCATCGAATTG